ACTCTGATCTCCTTTCCCATTCAATGTGATTAAAGTTTGAGGGAAAAGGTGGGAAAATGAAAGATCGCTGCTAGACTAAATATTGAGGCTCATAATCAATATCACCACAACTCCCTCAATCAGTTAACTGTTCTATAAGATACACCCAAAATTTGCTAAAATTTTTATCAGTGTTATTTTCAGTGAGAAATATGTGTTGACCTCTTTATGGGTGGAAAAAATTAAGACACTGTGGACGATGTGCCCTATTCTTGCTAGATTTATCAACCTTAAATAAACAATTTCTCAAAAAATGATCAGTTCTATAAAATTATTTTGTATAAAGCTAACCCTGCACCATATGAAAGTAGGGTAATTCTTGGAAAGAGGATAGTGAGTCTGATAACATTGGGGAAAATTTATTTAAGATAAAAGCCATTCTCAGCTTGATTTTTCATTCAAAATACATAGAATTTTTAACAAATAAGAAATAAACTTTGAGTTTTTTTTTCTTTTGATTCCTGTGGGTAATAGTGGCTTTTTTTCCTCATGTTTTCTTTTTTTTCTGTTTTATGGAATAGAGGCTTTGAAAATACTTAAGATTTTGTATTTCACATAAAATATCAGAATTATAAGCAAACTCCTCCCCTTACTGCAGTTACAAGCAAATGACTTGCAGGATTCAGCTTCTTAGATTTTCTTCTGCTTACCTGTAATGCACATTTCCTTGTTCCTTAGAAAATAAAGCCAGCAGATTGATTAAATGGGAATTAAAATCTTTCTTTATATAAAGGGAAAATATAGTAAAGAAGACATAAAATAATTTTTAAAATGCTTGGTTGCCAGCTCAACATGGTAGCAAACATGAAATAAACTACTTATGTGAATGAGAAACAGAGTTCTATGAGGGCTACAGCAGAGCCCTCCACCCAGCATGAAGTGCTAGATAGTTAATTGTGACAGATGATAATTTCGAAAAAAGAAGAGTCACAACAGAATAAAATACATGTGTCATTTTTTTTCTTCTGCATCTAGTGCTTCTATAACAATATCTTTGCAAGAAATAGTTGAGTTAATATGGCATTTTTACTTTCTTAGGAAATCCATGTATGATATAATTTAATAAACCAAATATGGAAAATGCATTTCATTTTACAATCCAACTCTAGATGTTGCTGCATGGAGAGTTTGTTAAAAACAATTCTAATGCACTATACCAGCTTGTTGGGAAAGACCAATACAATCAATTAACAATATTTGTTTTGGTCATTTTTAGTCAAATTATAACATTCATTTTACATCTTACTATGAGACTATTTGTTAACTAGAACCACTTATGACATCTGATTTTTGAAAATGGATCTACAATTTCCATATATAATTGTGTGTTTTTGCGCATGTACATGTTTTGGAAGTGGTGCTTGTGGAGCTTGTGGATTTTGTTTTGTTTTGTTTTGTTCTGTTCTGTTTTTGGTGGAAAAAGTTTAAGGTAGTTCAGGAAGAACCAGGACGTAGAAAATCCACTATTCATTATATATGAAACTTATATTTTTGTGGCAGATTCTTTCTAACTTATTCCACTCAGATTTTACTGTTCTTATGTGAATTATTATCTTCAGACGTGAAATGCCATTTTGAAATGATTCTTAAGGAATTCTCCTAGATTTTAGTTATTTATCAAATACTATCTGTGATGGTTTGAGAGAAGCCAAATAGTGCTAAGGTGGAGCGGATATTCTGATTGTATAAACATTTAGGAATAGATTATACTGCAGTGAAATAAGTTTGGTTTGAGGCTGGCTGTCCATATGGAAGTATAAGAGGGTAGAAAGGATGATGGAGGCTGTCTCCATACATGACCATAATATGATGATACAAATTAGAGAGTGTCCTGGTGGGGAAAACTCTGTTTCCCTTGAACCTAATTTTGAATCAAATGGAATTTAGTAACAATTTATGTAGGCAATTTATTGGGCGACTTGTGTGCTTAGTGTTATATTGCTCAAACTACGGGGAAGGGAGGAAGAAGGAACATAACTACCTATCCCTATAATTAAGTTCCATCAAATACCAATTCTGTGAAATGATCTCACTTTTATTATCAGTAAAATGGAGATATTGACAGGGTGGTTTTGTGAGTTGAATTGGTTAATACAAGTAAGGCATGTAGAGGGTCAAAAAGTGCATCTGTTTTTAGTATTATTGTATATATAGTTGCCATTTATCCCAGTAAAAGAGAATTTCATTCCTGAGGCTGTTGATTCAGGGAGAAAGAAAAAGACCATAAAGTAATTATAAAATATCATGGCGAACTCAAAGAAGTCTATGGTGACCATGACAGTGTGGAAAGATGCTTGTTGAAGCTCAGGTAGAGAAAGTGTAATGGAAATTTGGATAACAACATTTTAATCTGCTTGTGTTGTCCTCTGTGACCTTTAAGATGTGAGAGAAACAAAGAACTGGGTAGACTGGTAAGTAGAGCATCAGGAAAGAGTAACTACTTGTATGTTTCTTTCCTGTCAAGTCCCTGTAGAACTTCCGGCCCACAGAAATTTTCATGCAGTAATATTTGTAGATAGAATGCAAGCTGAATGTCCCTTGCAGCTTTAGTTTAATTAAGTTCTATTATACACAAACTTCCTAAGAAAGGAAGAATGATATATGGAATTCTTGAGACTCCCAATAGGCTGAACATTCTAGGAGTCTTCAGGAAACAGCACATGGAGTATTTTTATAAAACACTCTCAGGTTGCCAGCACTATTGTTTTTGTTATGATGATGTGGGCATCTGCTCCTGAATGGTTAAGTCTCCTCTCACCAGATGTGGTCCTTTGGAAAAGAGTTCAAGCTACTTGGCAGGTCAGTGGAGGGGAACTGAGCTTTGTCACTGCAAGTGCTCTCTCGATTTTGTGAATAAATGGATGACTTTACTTTCCAAGGTTGTCAGTCTCTCACAAGAACTTATATTTTAATCATAATAATGATGCCATTTAAACGTCAGTTCATTCTGCCAGTGTTTGATTAGCAAGCTGGCTGAGCATAGATATAAAGAGAATGGTAGAGCTTCATTTCATCTAGGGTATTATTATAGCTTACACTGGCTCTCACATTACCATTATTATTATTGTTAATTGTTATTTGTGGGGCTGATAGAATTTCTACCATTATTCTAAGTGGGGAAGATGACATAGTCCCTTTCCGAGAGCTTCATGATGAAAGTTAAACAGATATTATCCTACTTCAGAAAGGAATGAGGAAGTTTCAATTCTGACATTTTTGTGTAACTTACATACATTTACCTGTGGAGAATTAAACTCAAAGGCATTAATAGTGTACATTTTTGCATGCATAAGTATGCATCTGTATTTGAATGTATAAGTTATTTTTGCACATGGGCATATCTCAAGCTCATATTAGTGCTGTTATACTTTTAATAGTAGGAGCTCCAACTAAAAATCTTCTGCAATATGCACTACTAACTGCAGACAAACCTCACTTACACATATTTTCTTGTCATAAATGTGGCTACTGTCTGCATTTAGGGCTTGCTGTGCCTAAGATTTTAGTTTTTGTTTTTAGCCATGGTAGGTGGAACAACTTAAGAGTTAAGGTTTTGGGGATTCATTGATTGAAGAAGAATCACAAATTTATCTCTTCATCTTTCAATCTGAGCAGTTACATGAACATGTTATAGGCTGGCTAAATCAGAGGCTAGTAAGCACCCCCCCCCCTTTACTAATTATGTAAAAACAAGTTTCACAGAAAATTGAAAGAACCTTTTGCTATATATTTTTCTGACATGGTTATATTTTTTAATTATGGTACTTTTTAAAATCAGTTTTTACTTTAATGAAAATTTGATCAGAAAATACAGAGTTCCCAAGTATCTCCTCATGCACCAAACTCCCACCCCAGCAGTTTCCCCTTTATTAACATCTTACATTAGTGTGGCACATTTGTAATAATTGGTCAACAATATTGATACATTATTAATTACTAAAGGCCATAGTTTATAACTCACTGTCTGTGTTGCACAGTCTATAAGTTTTAACAAAGAGATGACACATATCCAATATTGTAATATCACACAGAATAATTTCAGTTCTCCAAAAATCCCCTGCACTCCACCAATTCATCCCTCCCTCCCCCAAAACCCTTAGCAGCCAATGATTTCTTTTTTTAATGCCTCCAAATTTTGCTTTTTTCAGAATGTCATGTAGTTGGAATTATATAGTATGTAGCCTTTTAACATTGGCTTCTTTCACTTAGTAATACTTATTTAAGGGTCTTCTATGAATTTTATGGGGCTTGATAGCTCAGTCCTTTTCCTTGCTAATTAATATTAATATTTTTGGATGTTCCACAGTTTGTTTATCCATTCACCTTTTGAAGGATACCTTGGGAGCTTCCACATTTTGGCAATTATGAATAAAGCTGCGTGTGCAGGCATTTGTGTGGGCATAAGTTTTCAGTTCCTTTGGGTAAATAGCAAGAAGCACAATTGCTGGATCATATGATAAGAATGTTTAGTTTTGTTAAGAAACTGCCAAACTGCCTTCCAAAGTGGCTTTACCATTTTGCATTCCCGCCAGCAATGAATGAATGTTCCTATTGCTTCACACCCTCACTAGCATTTGATTTCATCAGGCTTCCAGATTTTTGTTATTTTAATAGATGTGTAGTGGTATCTTATTGTTGATTTAACTGGCATTCTCTAATGACATACAACTTTGAGTATCTTTTCATATGTTTATTTGCCATTAGTATATCTTCTTTGATGAAGTGTCTGTTCAGATGTTTTGCCCATTTTTAAATTGAGTTATTTGCTCTCTTATTGTTGAGTTTTAAGTATTCGTTGTATAGTTTTGGATACCACTCCTTCATTGGATAGATGCTTTGCAAAACTTTTCTTCCAGTTTGTGGCTTGTCTTCTATTTCTTGTAATAATGCTTTTTATATAGTAAAAGATTTTATTTTGATAAAAATCCAATTTATGAATTTTTTCTTTCACAATTTGTGCTTTTGGTGTTATATCTAAAAAGTCTTCATCAAACCCAAGGTCACCTAGATTTTCCTCTCTGTTATCTTATAGAAGTTTTATAGTTTTGCATTTTACATTTAGGTCTGTGATTAACTTTTTGTTCCACATAATTTTTGTACATAATTGCATTATAACATGAAAAATTTGATATTAATATTATATTTCAGTCCCTCATTTTTAAAAACATCTAAAGCTATCACAAGGGAAGTCTACTTTTTAAGCCAATTTAGAGAATATATGTGTTACTTAAAAAGGTAGAACAGAATTCTAATGCCAAATGGGTGACTTAAGAGAAAATTGACTTCCTTAGCCTCAGTTTTATTCTATGTGAGATAAGGATAATATCATGTGTCCACTTTCCTCACTTGTATTTTTGCAAAGACCAAATCACATCCTGTTTATGGGAGCATCTTAAAAATACTAAGGAATGGGCAGCAAAATTAAAAGGTTCCTTAGTGGAAGTGTTAGAGTCCCTTTTTCAGCTAAATACAGAAATATCAAAATTGAAATTAGAGCATGTAACTGACAACAAGGAATCCAAAATAAGAAGTAGTATGCTAAAGAGGCCTAAGTCACATCTGAAAGATGTTGATAACTAAACTTAATGTCACAAAGGCCTTACCCTTCTTTTCAGGTAAAAGAAAATGTTGGGCTTTCAGGTAGCAAACAAGTGTGTTGAAAAATCTTGTTCATTAAATGTGATTCTACGGCTATTACTGAAAATGAAGATAAATTAGTTGGAAGTAATCATGACTTCATCATCTTCTTTAGGCTATGGTCATATCTGGTTGTTATTGAATGATCAGATTATACAGATATAGTAACTGGAATAAAAATGAATATAATTGGTGAAACTCACAAATTCAAATGACTTTCTTATAATCAGGTGCTTCCTTAACCTATAAGAGAAGTAGAAAGTTGCAACTTCCCTTCTGAATTATGAAAAGTTTCTACTGTGTTTTAACACACATGTCCATCTATTTAATGTGGCCTTAGTGATGGCATTACAATTCAAATGCATTAATGAAATTGAAAATTCTCATTGCCAATTAGTAGTTTGAAAAAAGGAATTTTCAACCTTATAAAAGATGAACCAAGGTGATTAAAAAACTCAGATATTGATAAAATCACTGAGGCTGATATGAGCTATGAAATATTCTAGAGCTGGTATTGTACACATCTAAAGACAATCCTTGGCTTTTATAGTCAGTGAATTTTCAGGCATAGCTAATTACACAAATTACTCCATGTGAAAGTAATGCAAAAATTTGTTTCTCTTTCTCTTCATCTTTATTCTTACTTTTCCTTGCCCCTCTTCCTCTTTCTTATCCAATTGTAATTAATTCTCTTTCTCTCCTCACCCCCACACATGCCAAAAATATAAAGGTTGGAATGAATGGTTTTATTCATAAGTTAAAATAAAATCTGGGTCAAATAAACCATAAATGTAAATTCATGAACACAGCCACATGACCCAATGCTCTATCTTGCTTTAAATATATGCTTTATTTCTTTATTAATTATATGCAGGGGGGTTGGCAAGGAAAAAGTTTTAATTACAGTCTTGTCCACATTTGTTAGAGTAGTGCACTCAACATAAAATAAAACAAAACAAAAACCCAACATAGTCTTGTCTTTGAATTCATGTAAGGCCTTCTTGAATTGGATTACATTTTTTGTTAATCTGACATATTTTCAATGTGCTCTAAAGAGTTATTTAAATAATCTTGCTGATGGGAATTTAATTTAGCATTGACTATTGGGGCAATGATAATACAAAAGTGTGCAGGATTGCAAACTGCATCCATCCCATTGAAAAAAACGTGTATCTCAGGGTATCAATGCACTACTTAGGCTGTTGAAGGACCACAGAATTCTCATGCTGCTGGTGTGGAGGTGGAGTGTTAGCATCAATTGAATAAGGCAGTTGTTAAGTTTTGGAAGCCATGACTGACTCATATCTACATGTTCTCCTAAATTGAAGTTGTTTTGAATCTGTTACTTCATTTTTGTTCTGGTAGGTTGGTGTAAAAGTAATTGCAGCTTTGCCATTACTTTTAATAGCAAAACCTGCTTTTACATTTGCAGCAACCTAACAGAACAAATTAGGTTTGTGCAAACGTAGTAAGGCTCACCTATATTACTACTCACAAGTATGGCTCACCTATATTACTACTATGTGTGGATGAAGCATGCACAGAGGAGAGACAGCACAGGATAGAGGCTAGTGAAAGAGCCACAGTTGTCCTTTTGCTCCAGTGTAATTTAGGCAAAGTCAAGATGAGTTTCTGAGGGAGAGTTGTTTTCATTTTGTAAAGGTCCTATGCACAATCATGTTTTAACAAGATTCCCAATTTGCATTAGGAAACACTAGCTCACTTTCCTACATAAGGCTATTTACTACACTTGCCCTTTTGGTAACATTACTATGTGTTTGCATTGTAGCCTATTATTAAATGAATAAATAGCAGGAAAATGCAATATTAGGTAAAAGAAAATGCTGGGTTTTCAAATAGCAAACAAACGTGTTGAAAAGTCTTGTTCGTTAAATGTGGTTCTGTGGGCCTTGGAAAGATTATAAAAGATGTCAGAGAAAACTTGTGAATCATAAATAGAAACTTTTATTACCTGGTTACATGGACCTCACCTAAGAGAAACAATCTATGGAAATATGTATGGCACAAGTTTTCTCTATCAGGTATAAAATTACTTCCAATATTTTATGTATTCCCATATACAAGAGAAGATGTTGCTGGGAGTTCAGCACACAAGGCTTTCCGGAAAAGAATTTCCGATGTTTTCATTGCTCTCGTGTCTTCCAATGAGTATAAGCCTTTCAATCCTTAAACCCTTCCTAGTAAGCCACATTTTTTTGATAATCCACAGAAATCCACAAACTGTGAACTTTTATATAAAATTAAAAGTGGACTACTGTGTGATTGAGCAAATGACAAAAGGAAGGATGCTAAAGATTTTCCTCGGAGTCTTTCTGGCTCTTTGCCATTCTCTGGAAGGTGGCCGATATAAAATCAGGGACCAATTTTATGCCGATTTTGTGCCCCAGTTAGCAGTGCTAATTGGGGCACACAAGTAAATTGCACTCTGCCCTGTGGAAATTTTCAGTTAGTCAACTAAATCAGAAAATCATTGAGAGTACTAATCCATCACTCAGTCACTACCCAATTAGGTGCAAAATCTATGCTCCCTCCAGGAAGGACAAAGTTGAGGCATGGGATCTCAATGATCAGTTAGTTATTTGGAATTGGATCTTTTATCTTTTTTTAATAAACTAATTTAAAAATATATATGTGTGTGCTTTTGAGGAGTGGGGCCACTAGGATATTTTAGTAAGAATTAACAGTCTAAGTATTATTAAAGTAGACAGGAGTAAAGGTCATTTGGTTCCCCTCACACTTGAAAGACATAGATTTTCTGAGGAAAAAAAAATTTTTTACACATACAGAGCATAAATACACTGAAAAATTTAACAGCAAATGTTCCATATTTCAAAGGGCCAAGTTATAGTTGGGTTCAACCTCATTGTCTTGTACTGCAGCCGTGTCTAATGAGAGGGCAGGAATTTTTGTCTGTTTTAGTCACTGATGCATCCCAAGTGCACAATCAATATTTTCCAGTGAATGAGTGAATGGACAGATGATGCCTAGGCAATAATTAATCTTAAAATATTGTACTTACATGGTATTTTAAGTTATAAAATAATATCTGTGATATATCTGGTACCATGTTCCCAGTACTTAAGAATGTTATGTATCTTGGTAAAGTATTTCAGTAACTGAAAGACAACATGGCCTTTAAAATATTTTTACTTTCCTTGAATACAAGAATTTTGCTCTATGATTCCCCCAAAATTATTTTAGAGAAATAAAATTTAAATTAGGTCAAAGAGAAATATTATCATAAAAGAATTGTAGCTTAGAATCAAGGTCTTTTTTAAAAAAAACAATTTTCTCTTTTGATAGAGTGCATGGATTCCTTTTTCTTTTTCTGTCACCTTTTTTTTTTTTTGAGACTGGGTCTTATTCTGTCACCCAGGCTGGAGTGCAGTGGTGCAATTACAGCTCATTGCAGCCTCTACCTCCCAGGCTCAGGCAATCCTCCTATCTTAGCCTCTGTAGTAACTGGGAAAGCAGGCATGTGCCATCATGCTCAGCTATTATTTATAAAAATTGTTTATAGAGACAGGTCTTCTTATGTTGCTTAGGCTGGTCTCAAACTCCTGAGCTCAAGTGATCCTCCTTCCTTAGCCTCCCAAAGTGCTAGCATTACACTGAGCCACTGTGCCCAGCCATAGGTGTTTTTATTGTAACATGCAAATCACTGTCAGCTCTAGAAATGCTAGAATTTTAAGGAAACTAATTTTGGCAAAAATGATTGGTAGAATAAAATCATTTTTTCAATTTTTATGCTTTTTTCTAAATAAACCTGAAGTATTTACTTGTAGATTTTAGTAAAAGATAATTGACAGTTTTAGAGAAAATTTTAAATTCTAAACATGAAGATTTAATTAAAATGTTGTCTGAAGTAATACCATTTTAATGAGTTGAATCAGAAAGTTCTCCTACTGGTATTATTTTAGCCCTCTTCCTACCTCCCTGAACGTCATCTATCTTTGCTGATTCTTTTTACCTTCTCTTGTTTTTTTTTTTTTTAATTTTTAAATTTAGTTTTTTATTTTTTACATGAATCCGTCTTTCCCTTAAAGAAGTCATATACCATAAACCATGATCTCTCTCCTGCATTCCGGTTCTGAAATTCTAAATTCCTAAAGAACATTTCCAAATAAAAGTCCAAACAGCAAGCATCTCTAGATCAAGAAATATTACTCTATCCCTATCCATTTTTCCTTCAAACCTTGCTTTTACTTCTGGCATTACAATATGTGTTAATTTAACATTCCTTTCTGCAGTTCATCCTTGGCTTAAATCCTTTTTCCTGCTTTTCTTTACCTCACACTTTCAGGAAGAGTTGTCAATCCTGTTAATTTCTTTTAATTTTTCACAGATAGTGCATCCATCATTTTTATCCCTAAAGCTTTCCATTCTTCTCAGTTATTAACTTTTTAGGCCAGGCTT